TTTAAATTCATCCCTTCAACTTATACCATCATTGAAGTTATTGAAGTCCCCAAGTTTACCTTCATTCACTACTTTCGATTATTGTTTATACTCAATAATTTCATGTGATTGTCTAAACTAATTCTATGTCATGCATAACTACTAGATCTTCAACTTATTTCATATATATTAGATATCACTTCTCTTTTGAATTCACCAATCATTTAAAAAAAAAAATGTATATCTCATGTTTGCTTCACCACTGTAACCGTAACTAATAGTTAATTTCACTTATATTAAATCTAATCCAATGGTTCGCTGCGCACTCTGATATAAATTATAATTCAATAATCATTAAGTAAAAACTAGTCACATGATAAGAATTCATATAGGTTCATAGGGTTTTGTGAAGATATGTCATGTTTCACTACATATGTTCTTTGCTTATAACTTCTAAAATATATTCACTAACAATCCATTTTTCTCCTCCAAAGGAAATTTTTTGTAAATAACCAAATATACTACTATGGCTATGGGTCAAGTTGTAGCTCTAAAATATCGTTTTCAGTCCTCAATCTTGCACACAACTTAATAAGCCTTAAAATCTCATTCATAACTCACATACATTCAAATTCCTACTATTAAATCAATCTTAATATTTTCACATTATTCACCAACTCAATTAAAGCTAATCATTTTCTCTATCTCCCAAATATTTATTCTCAATCTCTAACCTTGAGCTATAATCAATAACCCATGTAATCAATCCCTTACACCTTTCACATTCACTCCCTTCTATTCGTTATATATAATCTTGAATTCTCATGATTCAATCCAGAGTAAATACATTTCTGATTCATAAGATAAAGATAGACTTCAAAGGATCACAATAATCTCTCTCTATTCAATACGATCAGATTTCTTGTAATATAATGATAGTCAAAAACAAGACTCCCGATGATTAATCCAATGCTGCTCAATTTAACCATATTAATCATCATAGTCTTAACTATTATTCATAATCCTCAGGATAATAATGATCTGCTAATTACTAGGATAACCAAAGGCATTTATCCCTAATATTATATAAAGTTTTGCATCCATGTTAAAGTCAATATGCATAGGTATCATTATTGATTCCTCAATTACATCTTCTCAACTATCACCACTAACCATCAAGTTCAAATCTTCAATACTCGTACTAACAATCCTCAAGTATAACTAATCGAGTCTATCTTAATAGTGTACTAAAAGAGATAGAAAAAAGAATTTCATATTCCCCCAACACAACTCCAATAACATTAAAATATCCCACGAAATAATAGAAGTACATATTAAACTTTGGATATCATCTTTATTTTAATAATTGTCTGCTATATCTAACCTCGAGCTTTTTAAACTTCTATAATATTTAATTCTACAATATCGAGGGTCAAAAGTAAGTACTATAACTTAGTCAGGCCTCCTAGATTTTCCTTTTTACATGTCTATAAGTTCATTTTCATAATTCAACCTCAAATTTTCAGTCAAAATTTGCAAATACGAGCCAACTATTAACTCTACACTCAATCATGAGATTCTCGATTGTTAATACTTTAGAAAGTCTCAGTGTAGTGAACTAAGCCCATAATGAAATATGATTACCTAAGTATAACATCCTAAATGAGTATCTTATGTATGACCCTTCTAAACCATTAATACTTCCAAAGTAAATTTAATCACCTCCCGTAATATTTTCAAATCAATATTCGTAACCTCAAGTACGTGGTTATAAAAACAAATTCTAATCCATTTAAGAATCATAACAATAATTCCTATCGTTATTCCAAAATAGGCTCTCATTCGATGTTACTTCATCATATTGCTTCAGTTGATCACCTTTGAGAATTTTACTATCTCATACCATCGTACTCACCCTAGAGGAAAATATAACACTCCCATGGTTCATATCATAATATCAAAACTACATTCATTCTTTAATTTCTATGACTTTTAAGCAACACACATAACTTTCTATAAACCTTATTATTCAAAACTTAGTCCATCATAAAAACATCAAAGTTGACCTTGCCTCCATACATTCAAATTGGGTTATCATATCTTCTTGACTTCCAAAAATAAACAATACTAATAATAGAATAGAATACTTAGAGTCGACAAGGTACCAAATTATAGTCATTTTATATTGTTATTAATCAAAATATTTCAATCAACATGGGGGTATCTCTAAAACAGAGCCTAAATAGTGTGGAAGCTCGCTTAAGGATATGTCCTCCAGAGTCTAGGAAGAAAAACACTACGCTTTGTTATCCAAGGAACAACATAGTGCAGATTTTTGATCAACTTAAGAGAATAAACTGATTTAATTTAAGCATTTATAGCATAAGTGACCTATGTGGTTGGAAATATATACGAGTTAAGATTCTCTAACAAAAAAGACGATGCACAATTTGGACTTTCCAACAAAGAGTTATGGTTCAATTAGTAAAAGGCAGTCTACTTGATTGATGATTCTGCTACAACTGTCCAATTCGAGTATGGGTATCTTTTGTCACAAATCCTTTCTAATACTCATCTCCAATATAGATAATATCACTTGTATAAAGATCTATCCCTAGCATCATCTATTAACCAATGGTCAAATTACTATCCGTCTATTAAAGTAGTCCATAACTACATGACATAGAACTAGCATATCCATCCCAAAATTTTAGTCAACTCTTCTAAGCTAGCTAATCCATTAATTTGAATAAATAATTAATCCTTAACTTAACTAAACAACAAATCACACTTATCTTATAAACATATAACTTCAAACAAATTCAAGCTTAGAGTTTCTTCACCCTCACCTAATACTCCAATGATAGTTCACAACCTACAGCTCCCATATAAGACCTAATTCTTAAGTTCTGATACCAAACTTGTAACACCCCAAAATCCACCCTAGAAGGCATTACTATCTACAAACCATGAGAGCAACTAAAAATAATCATTAAGTAATAAACCATTCACCCATTTGACAAAAAATAAATACTAAAACCAATAAAACGTTGAAACTTCTCCAACTTACAATTCAAAACCAAGTATATCTAGCAGCGGAATAATAAAAACTAGTTAAAACATTGTTTCATAAAAATCTCTCAAATTCTAAACCAAAAGTAGATCAACTCTATTCTTTTAAGGTAGGATCCACATCTTGAACCTCTAACGGCTCGTAGTCAATCTGCTTATTCACATTGACATCCTCTTCTATGCCAAAATCTATAAGTGTGTTGTAGGGGGTGAGCAAAAGCCCGTAGAAAATTCCTCTCAAATCCTAATAAGATTTAAAACTATAAAAGATGACAAGTCTCTTTTGGAAAATAACATATAAAGATTTTTGAGAATAAAACTATGGTAGTTGTAATGATCTCAAGTGTACGAAATACAATAAATCAATGACTGGAATAAACTTGCAAAAAATTAAAGCAATCAATAAATAACTCAGTAACATTATTCAATATTCCTATATATGTTGATTCATCCCTATTGTCATGTAGTTGGTTGCTTCTCAGGAATCTACGCAACGATTCTACCTCGTTCACCCATCACTACCACACAATCTCAATCATTCTCCGCTGGGCCAAATCACAAACCACTTTAAAAAGGGGGTATATCGTCTCCCACGGTATTGACGAATCCTTCCAAGGAAAGGTATACCATCCCTCAGCCTCGAACTTACGTGAACAATAGTGGTTACTCTCATAAACATCAATCCACTACAAGTGTTAGACAATCATCTCACTTCCACTGGGATAGACTAACCTCTAACACTCTACGGTAGCTCTCGAAAGCAATTTAAGTCCATCACACCCAAACCATGCAAGAGATAAAATCACAACTTTCTCAACAATCACAAGCTTAACCAATCACAATTTTCATTAGCAATTCAAGTATCACAAGTGCACAATTCTCAATATACTACATTACTAAAGGAATTAAAATATGCAAGAGATCATATCAAGAAAATATTCACAATTTCGATATCAAAATTCTAGAATTTAGCCAAAAATCATAATTTCTTGGAACAATAACAAATATTAGATGAAAACGTGATTTAATCAAGAATAAGAATTTAGAAATCAATAATCCATATGAATTTCACAATAGCACATGCATTTTAGAAAAACTAGGGTTTTGAAAATTCAAGAACAAGTGTTCCTTGAACCCAAGCATGTATTTTGGTTAAGACCATGTTCCAATGATAAAGAAACCAAGAATTCATATATATATTTATCATATAATTATCAAGAGGATTGAAAACATACATATATAATACCCTAAGTTTCAATGAAAGAACTCAAGAAGTATCCCCTACCTCAATCCGATGCTTGAAGATAGTCCTAGCGTGTTCGATTCGTTTTCAACGTGAGAATCCCTTTTGAATCTTGTGTTTTCTCCATCTCTCTCACTCTCTAGGGTTGCCTAGGGTTGAAATTGATGAAACATGGCTAAAGGGACGTTCTTATGGTATTCATAAGATGAAAAACGTAGAAAAACCCTAAAACTGAGCTGGGCCGTTTTTAGTGTAGCGTTCGAACAGTCCTTGGGCATCCGGACGGTGCAAACTCATTGTTTTGGATGAAAAATAAATTTTTTGGATAACGATTACCGTTCGGACGGTGCTTGGTGCTTCTATTTTGAGAAGCATACTTGTTGGCTCCAAGATTAATACCTCTTCTTATATCCAGTGGAGATGATTTTGGTTTAGGCATGTTTGAGAAAAATGACAAGTATATAAATGGTTAAAGTAATGAGTCAAGATACATATATAATATAGGCATGGTGAACACCTATCCTACTTCTGTTTAATAATTTGACACACTTTTGTAGAGGAATGTAGTGTATATAAATCTATTGCTTGGGTTACTTTTGTCTGTTATGTTTACAACTGGCAGCATTGGTAGTTTTACGTATACTGCAATATAAGTCAAACAATTGAGAGGAGAAAAAATGAGTGTTTTTTTGTAGTTCAAATTGTAATGAGACCAAATTTTCGGTTGCAGGATGCACTCAAGCAATTATGGAGACTAGCTTATCCTGATAGGGATCTCCCACCTCTTAAATCAGAGCTTTGGAAAGAGATGGGATGGCAAGGACCCGATCCCTCAACAGATTTCAGGTATGTGACAGTAGAATCTGATTTTCACCAAATTTTATCTGTAAATTGATATCTTATGAATTTTGTGGGACAAATTTTAGGGGTGGAGGATTTATATCATTGGAGAATCTTATCTTTTTTGCCAAGATGTATCCGGTTGGTTTCTTTCCTTTCATTTCATGACTTGTATTCAATTATCAATTTGATGAAATGTTTGTTTTGTTTCCTTTTGACTTGATAATTATTTTACTAGCAATGTAAACAATAGAATTTTGACAAGTGAGAAATACTATTGTAAAAGTGTGAATTTACTTTAGTATTTAGTTACTGAGAGCAGTTATGGGGTATGGGCCAATGTGTGAGACTCTAATGTAGTTGAAAGAGGGCAACATTTGGGGCTTACCTTGGTTTTCCCAAAAATGTCAACAGGATTGTGAATAATGGGGAGAAAATTCATTTTTCGGGAATTATATTTGTTTCTTTAGTATTCTTTTTTTCCTTTTTATCGAAGGACCGCTTTTCCTTCGTGTTATGATCTCTTTTTTAATAATATGTTAATGTTGCTGATAAAAATGAAATTGCTTTTAGGAGGATGTTTGTATTGGGGTTCTTTATTCTCATCTCTTCTAATACCTCATATATGTGATATATCAATGAACCATATGATTTTGTTTGCTTCACCAATAAGATGAAATTGCAATTTTTCTAGGAATGAAAAGGATGAGGGAGTTCAAGATTTGTGCTTCTTGTTTTTACTTTATTTAATGAGGTTTCCTAAGTTCTATCCTCTGCTATAGGAAGTTGGATTAGCGTTTGTTAGAACTTCCCTTGTAGATCTTTTTTTGACTTTTTGACTGATAGTTGTTCCGTTCTAGGTTTTTTCTGTCGTTTCTGATATGGAAGGTACAAGTGACTATTGCTCATGGAAATAATACTATTCATGATTTGCTTTAGAAAAAAGACTGTGTGCTTACATTGCTATCACAAGAATATAAAAACCTTAGTATTTTTGCAGAATTTGTAGATGGTCAATTAAAAAATAGAGTTTCATTTCACAAAGCAATGAAAAAAGCTATTGAATTAACTGAACAAGTAGATATAAAAGGAATTTAAGCACAAATTGCAGGACATATTGATGGAAAAGAAATTGCAATGTGTCGTATGGATTAGAGAAGGTAGGGTTCCCCTATAAACCATTCAGGCTAAAATTGATAATTGTTCCTATATAGTTTGAACTATCTGTGGGGTCTTAGGCATCAAAATTGATGAAGATATTTACATGTCTTTCCCTTTTATCCAGTCCGGTGATGCAACAAAAAATACTAAACTCATTCACTCTTTTTTTGTTCAATTAAAACCAAAATGACCATATCAAAGTCTTAATTTTATAGGTTTGCATAAAAACTTAGTTGACCATCTAATATAATTGATATGGTTAGCGGGTGACTTCTTGCTTTTTTAGGATTGGGATTAAATATAAAAAAACTAGCCCATAGTATAAACTAATAACCATAGAACTAATAAAGCATCAATATTGATTCTTCCACAATTAATCCAATTTACAAAAAAAATAAATAAATAAGACCATCGAGCCGTTAAAGTCTAAGAAAATTGATTGGAACAAATTTCATTATGAAGCTCTACTGTCAAATTTAGACCTAACCATTAACTAAGAAGTGATGGGGAAACAAATTCTGATGATTCATTGGTTGGTATGGCAGACAACTGGGGACCCATTCATATATTGAGAGAAATCATGAACTAACTCTGCGTTTGAAATAGAGATTTAAATATAAATATTTGCCCACAAGGATCACTAAATTTGGGGCAATCCAATACAAATAAAAGGGCAAAACAAAATACAAATTCATTATAACGTTGTGAGGATGAGAGCATTTATAACCTTTTTCTTCATGTCTGGTTGAATTGTTATTGTGTTTCAAATAATTTCAAGTATAGGATTGTGTTAGGTAATTCTTAGGCACTATGTTACTTTGTTTGGGGAAGATTTCAGGGATTTTGGAAGGGATAAAATGCTGCCACTTTTTGCAGCTGTGCCCATCTGGCTTACTTTCTATGTTTTATTTGGTATAAATGCTGTTCTTGTCATACAAGTGAACCAGAAGATAGTTTATGGAAAATGAAATGTGGAATGTAGAAGTCTTATGTTTTGAGATATTTTTATGCTTTTGTCCCTTTTGTATATATAGATACACGGTCCTTGGAAGGATGTCTTGTGCGTCTTTAGATCCTTACTTCATATTTTCTTTTTCTTCTCTTTTAATAAAATTCTCTTTTTTTCATAAGCAAAAACTAAGGTAGGTCCAACATTTTAAAAGAAAGTAAACAACTTAAAGTGCAAGAGAGAATGGGTTTCATTTGCCACAAACCATTCATGTTAGTATAAGGTGAAGGTTCTACTCTTATAACTCTTCCCACAAGAAGGGATTAGGGAGATGGGAAGAGGCAATAGGGAGACAATCTAAAATTAAGTGAATGCATACATCGTAGTTGCCATTCGTGCTTGTGGTTTTTTTTTTTTTTTTGTTTGGCGGGGGGGGGGGGGGGGGGGGGGGGAGTGCCTTCCATTTCACAAGACTATAACTGATTGATTGGGCAAAAGATACTTGGCCAATTAGGTAAGAAATTTCAGTTGTGGTTGCCATTTTTTAAGCTTAAATAGGTTTCTTATAGGCAGCAAATTTTGCTGCAATAACTTGATCAGTACTTGGGCGGCATAATTGGTCATATTGTGTAAGTTGAAACTTGAATAATTGTACGATAAGGTTAATATGGTGCGTAGGGTATGTATTGCAAACACATTATCACCTATTTATATTAGATTGATATTAACAACAATTACAATATTAGGAAAGTAGAGCAATAAGAACGTAACACTCGTTACACTCTTTCTTAAGCTGATGCATAGAGATAAAAAATGTCCACTTTGGAATAAAGGCTCCAAAAGGTGGACCACACTAATGGTTTGGTGAGAAAATCACTGAGTTGACTATAATATTTCCACATAAATAATAAGGATGATAAAGCCAAGCTTTGAGTAATTGCTTCAAACCATTCAAGGACTTCTTTAATCAAAATATACTACCACGATACTCCTCTTATGTAACAAATCGATGTACTTGCTCCGTGTGAAATCTATGACATCTCTTATAAAACAAGTAATATCAAATGACGATCACGACAACACAGAGGAAATGAACACGATGACGGCAAAGGGCAAATACAACAACACGAGCACCACCACCACCACCACCAGCAACACTGGCACAAACGAAGACAACCAATAAACTCCACAACGAGCCAAAGGCCCTCGGGCAAAAAGAAGTTAGGCCTTAACAAACGAAATCAAGGTAAACTTACGCAGAATTGGAGTTGAATCAACTAAACCAATACCAAACCATAATGAAAACTCTAGAATTGACACTGAACCAGACTAAAAACACCGGGTCAGAACTGAACCAAGATGAAAAACACAATTAAAACCAAACTATGTCGAAAACTATTGAATTGGCGTTGAACCAGGATGAAAACACTGAACTGGATTCAAATCGGGATGAAAACCATTAAATCAGCACCAATTGTGCAAAAAACCACTAAATTGACACCAGACCAGTTTGAAAACATTGAATCAGAATTAAATCAGGATGAAAACCACTAAACAGGTCCAAAAACCATTGAGTCAACACTAAATTGAGCTGAAAAAATGGAAACGAAATTGAATCAGGAAGAAAATCACTAAACCAAGGCCAAACTAGCCTAAAAACCACTGAATTGAGTTGAAAATACTAAAACAGAACTGGAATTGAACCAGGATGAAAACCACTAAACTAGCATCCAACTAAGTTGTAAACCATTAAATTGGGCTGAAAACTAGAATTGATCCAGGATGAAAGCTAATAAACCAGCACCAAATTAGGTCGAAAATACTAAGCTGGAAGTAAACTAAACTGAAAACACGATCGATGATCAGATATAGAAGCCATGAACATGGATTTAGGTACTCCACAATAACTGATAATAATCACAGTTGCTAATGAACAATCATAAACTACCACAACTTTGTGTTAGATCTATTGGACAGTGACATAATAGGAAAGAAAAATCACCAACGGGTCTTTGATCCAATGATACTCCTTACCTTGTGAAGCCTTTGCCTTCTTGAGGTCAAGAGTTTAAGTTCCCCCCCCAACAAAAAAAAAAAAAGAAATAGGAAAGTAAAACAATCGAAAAGTTGCACTCTAACGACGTAGTGGTAAAGATTGAAAATCTCATGCTCTTCCTTATGATCAGGTAAGAGAATTACATCCATACTGTTGGACACGGACGGAGTCGAAAATCGTTATAGGTGGGCTCTTTAACAAGTTTTAATATTTTTCTACTAACCGATAAAAATGATATAATACATTTATGTTTATCACATTATATTTGATACTTGAAAATTCAATAACTACGAAAGGCCAAAAAAGTCAATATACATATTGTATGCAAATAAAAAATAACAAAAAGATTTAGTATAACTCTTTACAAAAATTAAAGTTTATGCAACCATTTAAAATTGATCCCAATTAGTTTTATACTTCAAAATTGTTGCCTAAGAACTTCTTATTGATGTTTTCGAAAATTTCTTTATCCATTTATACAATCATGCAACCATTTATTCATTTCTCACCGATTTGGTGTTTGGGTATACGTATGATGTGTTTGAAACATAGCTGAAAGTTATTAGTCGCCTTAGTTATGAGTTTATCCTAATTGATATTAAAAAAAAATAACAGGGTGGGCACAATTAGAACTAATCAAGAAATAATTGAAACATATATAGTAACTAGTTGTTGCACGTGAATAATTTTGAGTTATAATTCCTGTATATAATTTATAAGGTTATATGTTTGACTAATTAATAGTAAAAATAAGAGTAAATCAATGAAAATTCGAGAAAAAATATTAAACATAAAACCAAGAAAGATTGAAAAATCCTAAATGAATATTATACCTACCAACAGTCAAAAAATCTATGTCTCATATCTTTATATATTAGATATTATATTTGTTTGAGTTTGTATATGAAGGATCCACAGTGAATCCAACCACCAGATAAAAATTTTCATTCTCCTCATTCTTATAGAGAAAAGAAATGAATGGATTGCTAAAAGTGAAGAAGTTGTTGCCAATAACGTAGAGACATGAAACAGGTGGCGGAATAGTCACTCTTCAGCTCTTAGTCAAATATCTCCAACCATTAGACTACCTACCTCTGCTCATCCAGCGTTAATCTTCGACTTTGTCAACAGCCAAACAAAATACCAAATATGAAATATGTAGTAAAAAAATCAATAAGAAATAACAAAAAGACAACAACAACAGAAAGTGAACAAGAAGAACAAAGATCTATGAAGGAAGAGTGAACAGCGAAATCCTCTTATTCGGTTCCTAATCTATTGATGCTTCTAACTGTTAGACCCCAAAATAGTAAAAATAACAATAATTCCCCATAACCAAATAGTAAAATTCTCAAAAAAAAATAAACTCACAAAAACAAATACTGATTTCTCAAAAAAAAAAAAAAAAAGATCTGTTCCATGTGATCTTGTGGAAAGCCTTGTTCATTAGATATCCCCACCTTCAAGTAGGATAGATGACAAGATTTTTGGATAAGCAACAAAATAAGCAAGGTTGTCAACAAATTCACATTGTTCTTAATTATAATTGAGTATAGCACCGGAGAGTCTAATTCACTTGCTCTTCACTCTCACCATACACTCTCAGCAGAACTCAATAATCATCCTATTACTTTTCATGAAGTGAAGTATGCATCTGGTTAGTATGTTGAAAAAGTTGTCCTCTATAAGGACATTAAAATCCAAAAGCATTCCTTCATGTGGCTAAAACAACTGACTTAACTACGGGAAGTTAAGCAACTATAGGACAAACTTTCACAATACACACCTATATAGAAAATAGGGGAGTATGCCATAGTAAAAAGAATATATTATTGGATTAGGACCAGCAAGGATAGTATGAGAAAGTTATAGTGAATAATAACTTTTTAAAAAAAAATTTGAAGTAACAACCTACAACACATGCCATTAATAGTTGGTGGTCTTGTTCGTTGTTTTGGATAGACATCACTGAACACAAAAAATATATTTATTATTGTACTATACCTTAAAAGTTATTTGTTAAAGAAAGTTGAATTGTATCTAAGCACTACCTCATCTCAAAAATAATCCTATTCAATTGGGTTCTTGACATATTGGCCAGATAAAAAGTTAATAGGTCGGTGCCCAACATCGACTGCCTTTGAAGAACATTTCGATTGGAATTGCTGTCAAGTTCAGGACCTGCAAATACTCTGACCATGAGCGATTTAACTGACACAGCTACTGACAGACCAATTTGGTGCTCAAGGCCAACATGCCAAAGATTACTAAGCCCCCAAATTGTGTTTGAGGGTCTGCATTTATTGTAAGTAAAAATGGCCTAGGTTTTATTCAAATGAAAAAAATGGAAAACATTTTCGTTGTTCTCTAAGTAGAGGGTAGAAGGAAACTAATGAACATTCTCAATCACTCCAAGTCCACCATGACCTTACAAGTGCCACAATAGTAGTTCTAATGAAGAAATGCCTAACATTATACTTAGTTCTTACGAGCATCAATCGACCAAGTGTTAAGATATATTTCACACAAATATTTAAAACTACCAGAGAATGAAATGAAAAAAAAATGAAGTTAATATCAACTGTAGGTTTTTACTCCCACCTCACAAGAACCCCCACCAAAAAAAAAAGGCACACCCTATATTGCATCAATAACAAGTTAGGTGATTTGTCCATGTGTGCTTCTCTATAAAGTATTATCAACACAAGAATAGAGGTAGAGAGGAAATTAGATATACCTTGTGCTGAGCCATAAGAGTGCATCACCATTATAGAAAATTCTCATTGCCACCACTTTTGATTGATTACAATCTCATATAATTATAGTCAAAATAGCTTAGCAATCTAATTTTTTTTGAATTCAAATTTGAGATTAAACATATACCTGTGATGGATTGATTGAAAAATAGATCGACAACTTTTATTCGCTTTGTATAAAAATTTAATTCAACATCTATATTGGGCAATTGATGGAGCTTCCTTTTTCCTGCATTGCTTTCAAGAACAGAGGACTTCAATTCACCTCAGTCGGATAAGAAAATCAAGCCCAAAAAAATTCAGATACATTTGTATAGAATATAAATGTAGGCACACTTGGTGGCTATTGTGAGAAGAGTAAAAGAATTCACTACAAACATGGTTAATTTGGACAGAACCTCATAGGTTTTAGAGGTTGAGGTTAGCTGTTTTGTTATCAAAGAAAATTGGTGGAGACACGAAATTTAGTACAGTGATCTTATTTACAGGAGTTTTAATCTAAAAAGACATTTACCCAAAAAGGAGGCCAAAATTATGAAACCAAAGCTCCTCCATCCCAAATAACTTGTGTTTTTATCATGCACCAGATCAAAATAAAACAAAATGAGAGAGTGAGGATGCAGACCCACATAGCTTAACATTCTATTGGAGCGCTGAATAGAGTGGCTATGGTTTGCCTGTAGACCACAAGAAACCCACATATTACTCAAAACTACCATAAATCCAAAATTTTAATGTGTTATCTACATAATCTACACTGGAACCCCCTGCCATAAGAAGATGAGTAAGTGAAAGAGGGGAGAGAAGGAGAACACGAAACCAAGAACAAAATAAGCAGAGGGTCGTTCAAGTTAACACTAAATAACTGAAATCAAATGCCAGAAACAAAGAAGAATTCACCTGCCAAAACATAAAAAACCAAATCACATTCCTAATCAGAATGACAAGCAAACATACCTAATTCTTCTCATTGGATGTGATTCCAAAACTCTCACCATAGGTTTTGAATTCTAGTCGAGTCGCCGACTGTGAGAGCTAACTATTTTCGAGAGGGAGAAAGGTTTTAGTGGGCGAAGTAAGTGCAATAGATAGAGAGAGAATTGAAAACTCGAGCAGTGAATGGAAGTAACATGCATGCATATGAAGTGGCCAAAGCCGACGATTCGGTGTGTCATTAAATTTAGAGGACAGCCAAGGCATAGTTGTAGTGTTAGAGGACAAAAGTGGAAAAATAATGTTTTTCATGTATGTTGATATTTTAAAGTAGTATAGATGATAATGAAAAACGAAAAAATGAGGCCTCACTCGGCTCCGCCAATGCTAATGGGTATCCCTATGACACCTTGCAGACACAACAAATTAAGAACTTAGTAGGCTTGTCATTCTTTTTTAGGTTGGTCGTCTAGGTTCTTATTCGCGGATGTCTCTTAAAATGATATGATTAAATTTAAAAAATATATAAAAAATTTAGGATGTTACGTCAAACAATCAAAAACTTAAAAAAAATATTGTTCTTTAAATTATAAATATATGTACATTCAAAAGAGCAAAAAAAAAAAAAATCTCACCATATTCTTGTACAAAAAATTATAAAACTTTACTCTCTCATTGTATTTATATTCTTAATAACTCTGGCCTATTTATTCAATTTAATTTTCTTGAATTATAATTTTTGTGATAATTTTGATTTTAATCTAATCATTCACATAGAGTGTTTGTTTTGCAAGTTGTTTTTGATCTTAAATATACCTACTAAAAGATATGAATTTAAATAATTGAAACTAAAAACAATAATAACCAAATTATTCATCTAAAAATAATTTAGGGCCTTCATCTAAAATTTTTGCATAGGGCCTCAAGCATTCTTGAGCCTGCCCTATTTCGAACATAGTGCTGCAGCATTAATAAGAGTTCACCTTTGTATTGTTATTAAGACTACCTCTTTCATTATTTGTTGTCTGTATTCTTTAGAACACAGCAGTTACTTTGGAGAATCATGTAGTAGATATTGGTGGAGACATTGTAACCAATGGAGTATATCAAAGTGTGGACTCTTCATATTTGAGAGAGCTAATATAGGTGTTTCTACTTTAAAGTTCATAAAACTTAGCCATTTAGCACTAAACTTCAAAAAATTAGTTTTGCCTCTTTGGTTTACTTTTGTCACAGTTCCACTCTGGGTTTATTCTGAACCTCTCCCTCGCCCTTCCTCTTGTTTCTGATTTTGGGTCACGCGGTGCACTTGATGCAGATCAGAAAAAAGAGGCTACCTGTGAGCAGGAAATAGTAGCTGGCTCTTTGCTCTTCTTCAACCAATGCGGATACCAAATCTTATGTCTTGGAAAGAGGCGACACAGTAGGGAATCTGAGCCACTTTATAGGTGTATGTCAAATTGCATAGATTCTGTTGAGTTTCGAGAAAGTGTTTTCAAATTCATATGATTTGGAACTCGCAGTTGAAGTGGGAGTTATTAAAGTCAATTTGCCTCTGTGGTTTACCAGTTTATGTTTTGCACTCTGTTATGTATTGGAGATCATATTTTTACTGTTTTTGCATCTCATTACTTGTTTTTAGCAAACCAGTCCTACAAATATGGCAACATCACAATGATGCATTTTGCTGAGTTTCTTTTTTCTTTTTAGAATGTTAACAGTTCTATTAGATTCTATGCCATCTGAAGGCATCATAATTGTGTCTGATTACTTGGCACAGTTTTTAAGCAGCCAGGCTTGCTCTAGTCTTTTGAGATTCCATTATGTGCCCTTGTTTCCTCTAGTTTTAGCTCAGTCCAGTTCTGAACTTTTTCAGATATCTCACTGCTCTCTCTTGCTGCATGTTTGTGTTTGTGGCTTTTTTGGCGGGCACATATTGACACCTGTAATGTTTTGTAGTTCACATTTAAGGTGACAATATTCTAGTAATAATCATCTGTATGTCTTGTCGTCATGTAATTTGAGAATTGTCTAGTTACTGAAGTTTCTCACTACTTTTTTGTTTCTTAAACAGGAAGCATTCTGGAGCTTGCTGCACAAAATAGATGGAAACAGAGCTGAGTGGGAGTATCCCTTTGCTGTAGCTGGCATTAATATATCTTTTATGTTGGTGCAGATGTTGGATCTTCAATCAGGTATTGAAATTTCGGTTCAGGGGTATCCAATCATGCATAGCATCAACACCAGTCATGCTCTCATTAACTGACAACCGGCTGAGATGTATGTGGTAGCAAAGAGAGCAAAATAGATCATCTTAACACAACCTCTAATTTGTTTTTCATACAATCAACTGGGTGATGAACTTGCATCTTAGTTGACAAGCTTCTACCATGGTCTCATAGATTTGATATTATTCTCTCAGGGCAGCCCACTTCTTTGGCAGGAATCCGCTTCTTAGAAATACTGAACGAGGATGAAATGGCTTTTGACAACCTTTACTGCATTGCCTTTCAAATGATGGATGTACAGTGGCTTGCAAAGCATGCTTCATACATGGAATTTAATGTAAGTACTTAACCACTGCTATTTTATCATTCATTTCCACGAGTAATTTACTGGAAACTGCAATTCTTTATCTTGTTTGTCACACATTGGATGTTCTATTGTGATTTACAGGATGTTCTGAAGTCCACAAGAACCCAATTAGAGCGTGAGCTTGCACTTGAAGATATTTCCAGTGTGAAAGATTTACCAGCATACAATCTGTTGAAAAGATAACCCAGCCTAACATTTTCCAGCGAGTAACCCAGCTTAACATTTCATCGCACGTAAAATTCCTTTTGTCTCCTTTTTACTGTAATTGTCGTCAAGTAAATGGTCCTAGGATCTCTTATTTCACATTTGAATATTTCTTTCCTTCATATGATTATCAAATATAGCAGCACGAGTAAGGGCGATGTATGATAGTTGAAGGACCTAAGATCAAACATTGCATGGTGGTGATGTTTGTTTTACTGTAATCAAATGCCTCTAAATTTTCGCATCTAAATGGTTATTTTTTGTGTTCATCGGATTACATACATTTCCGAGGATTGCTTGTTCAATGTTCATAATGTTACCAAGTAAAACATATCTATTTTCTTCGGTCACAATTATGTTCAATTCCACATTCTATGCATTTCGTTTTACATGGTGCAACCTTTTCCGAGCTGAAAGCTCTTTTTCAGTTGATGCATCTTGCGCCCTGGGACCATTTTTGTTACAGGTATTTTTATTGGGACAAATCACTCCTACTTTTGGAAAACGACAATTGAATTATAATTCATCTTATCTTTTTAGGATTTAGTTATTAAAATGAATTACATAGAAAATAATAAAATTATTGGATAAATGAATAGGTACTTTCTTGTAAACTACTAGTATAACTTTATCATTTTTTATTTATTTTTTGTAGAATTCAGTGGATTGATCAAGTGAAAAAGGGACTCCAAGTCCAGTTGACATTTTTTAAGTCATAAGGTCTAATGTGAGAATTTTTAGGTCCAAAAGGATAGTTATAGTCACATAGACAATATTCCTTCAATGAAAGCCGTTAGTCTCCCAATATATTGTAACTACAGCATTATTTTAAGAGATTTTGTTTCCTATATAAAAAGGGTTTTCTCTCGTCTCTATCTTACATCCTACTCTTTCTCTCTCTCAAATTTTCCTCTCCTATTTCTTTACATTCCTTTTTCTCTCATCTCTCTTTCATCCCACACACACTTTCTCTCATCTCATCCCTAAATTCTCCCTCCTCTTTTTTAAGTTCTTTCTTCTCTCTCTATCTTATACATCCAATTTATCTTTATATTTTCTCTCTCTTCTATATCCCTCAATCTTTTATAGATATACTAGCAATAACTCCTTACTTGAAGATACTTTACAATATAAAAAATTGAGCATTGACTGTGTAATATTTTATACTTTAAATAATACTTTTATTTTTATTTTTTTTAAATTAGGTAATTTAATTAAAAGTGGATAAAGAGAAAATAAGAGAGGTTGGAGAGAGAGAAAAGAGAGATAGGTGTAGATTAATAGAGTTGTCTAGTAATGAAGAGTATGTTGATTGAATTGTTTGACATTGGTGTTTGTGCAGAGAGAATGATGTTCTTAGACAGATTTTTTTAAAAAAATGAATTTTTTAATGTTAAATGAAGATGGAATTAATCTCAACTATTATTTATTTTTATTAATATGTAATTCTGAAAGCTGGTTGTAGTATTACATAGATAATATATTTATATTTTTCAAATTCTTATTGCTTTTGTAACAAAACATAATTGACATAATTAATGAAATTAATGAGATTTTTTTAATTGGACAACAAAATTAAAGGATTTTAATTGGAATTGAGAATAAATTATGCTTAATTAATGGAGTTGATTATATTGAGCGTTAGTAGTATTGGCCAAATTGACAGAGAAACGTGCCCAAAACAGTGACATGAATTTTATTGCAATTGGACAATCAAATTGACCTACACATAGGAAAATTCACTGTTCTTATAGTTTTATGAGTGTAAAAATTCGCTATCCACTCTTGGTGCGATGTTGAAATTGTGACAGTAAAATAGGAATTTCCTTGTTGGACAATGAAATTGACCTACGAGTTTGATTAAATTGAGTTTGAGTATCAATAATTAAATTGGACAGTGAAATACACCCAAAACAGGGAAATTGACCTATGAGTTTGCTTAGATTGAATTTTAGTATCGCTAGTCAAATTGTACAATAAAATACACCCAAAAACAGTGAAAATAGGCATATTTCACCGTTTGAACTATAATAATTAAATATAAATTTCATTGAAATTTAGACAGCCAAATTGCCCAAGGTTGATTAGATTGAAATTTGGAAAATTTGGAGGCCTATCCCCTTTTGTGGATTTATTTGATGATAGTCCATCAAAGAAACTTATTTAATATTAAGTTTATTTTGATCTTCATTGTCCAAATTACCCTCATTAATTATATTTAATTACAAAAAATTTGAAAACTAACAACTCTTAAATTTTAGGAGTTTGACTAACATTAAAATTCTATTCATATATAAAATAACACTATTTACTTCTCTCTCCCTTCTATATATATATATATATAGTAACATTAAAAATAATAAATAGTAATATTCAAACACAAAAATAGTACCATTTAAATACAAAAAAATAGTAACATTAAATATTAATATTTGAAAAAAAATGACAGTAGTAACATAGTCAACAAAAAAAGTAATATTGAATATTGATATTTTGGAAAAATAGTAACGTTCAATAGTAATAGTAACATACTCAACAAAAATAGTAACATGCTTAATAAAAAATAGTAACATGCACAACAAAAAAATAGTAACATTGAAAAAAAATAGTAACATGGATAGTAATATCGATATTAAATTAATCATAGTCTTTTTGAGCAAGAAAAAAAATGAGAGAGAGAGAGAGAGAGAGAAATGGTAATGATGTCAAATTTAAATTTGAATTTTAGATTTTATGGAAAAAAATCTTCCTTTAAATGTGAATCAAGGATAATTGTTTAGGAAATTAATTTAATGTTGAAAATTATTTTTTAAGTCATTACAAGGGCATTTTGGAGTTTTAAAAAAATAGTGGACTTAAATACTTATTAATAAAATTAAAAACAAACTTATCTCCAAATAAGTTTCCTTAACGGACTAAACTCATTATAAATCCATTAATATTGACACAACCCCAATTTTTGCTTGAAATTTTAGTATCACTTATCAAATTGGACAATGAAATACACCAAAAATAGTGAATTAGACTTCATTCATGTAGAAAAACTATCTAACACTCAAAAAGAGGAAAAAAAATTATTTCATAGTGTTATTCATCCTAAGACACAAAATTCATGTATCACACTATCTTGGACAGTAAAATACCCACAATTTCGCTATATTGGATAGTGAAACAACTTATTTCACTGTCACACACACCATCACAACAATTTTATCGTCACAAAAAATAATCTAATAAAACTTATCTCAAACACAACATCAAAGTTGTATCGCAATGACACTAGACTTTTTTACTATTTTATTCTTTAAAAACTCATAAGAAAAAATTACATCGAACAGGAACATAGATAGATAGATATAGGCATGAGGGTGTGATAACATCATCTATTGCAACAAATCTGTCATGGAGTTCATCCTCATAAATTCGTCAACCACAAGAAGTGGGATGTTACATCAAGTAAGCTGGATAGTGAGTTCGTCATAGAATTTTGTCTGTGAGGAAGATGTATAATGACGTTGTCTTTGCCTTTTGCTTGTCCTTCGATTCTTGCTCCTATTTGGGTTGTGCTTTTTGATATTTCACTCACATTTACGACGAAATGGTATTTTAAATTTGCATCTTGATGGAAATATTGACAAAAAAAGTGATTTTGATCCATACTAAGTGCTACAACTTTAATAATATATCATCTAAGTGTTAGTTATCGTGAAGTAATAAAATGCAGAAGTCCGAGATCGTACCTCAAAGAATTGATTAATAACTTAGAACACAAAGAAATTAAAAGTAAAAATTGCTTTTGAGAATAGTTTGAGAGATGTGAATTAAGAAACCAATAATTTAGGGTTTGAAATAGTAATTAGGAATACTAAAGCATCGGGATCCCCTACCAACTCCACTCAGTATTTATTTATAATCCAATTTTTAAACTCAATTATGAATCAACTGAAAAGTAATCTTAATAGAAATATGTAGCGGTGATAATATTGAAAACATATCCAAAAATATAATTGATAAATTATTTGAATAAATCTAAGTATCCAATTTTAAATCACAAGAATTCATCATACCCGGAGTCGACAATGAATCAAGTTCTCTAACAAAAAAAACATATGTTTATCACAAACGAGAAATTATTAATTTTTATAAAAATTCTAGTTAATTAATTCAAACATGCAAAATCACTTATTTAACTCCCAATGAATCTAAAATATTCGATATACATGACACAACAAATTAAGAGATTTTATTAAGCGAAAACATTATTAAAAGACAAGAATCAATTAATAAGAAAAATCATACACCAAAGAACAATATATCAAAAATAAATACCGTGCTTCGTTAGAATAATCATCCCTATCTTTAGTTGAGGATTTATCAATCCATGAGAAGAACAAAAGAAAAACTAGAGAGGAGAGGCTATAAGCAAGATACCCCAATTATGGTTTACAAGAGTTTTTATATAGGGATTAGGCAGCCAAAAACCCAAAAAGAGTTAAAGACTCGTTCTTGGCCAATATGTCTATAGCATCCGGAAGTGTGTTTTGGACTAATCAGATGAACGACTTTTTCTTGCATCTACTGTACATGGCATCTGGATGCGCTTTGTTAACCATTCGCATGCGAGGCAATTCAATCCTTTTCAGATTACTCCAAATCTTCTCCCATTCACGCATTCGCCCACTGAAGTCTTCAAGTCAACCAATTTACCTACAAAATGGGAAAACACAACAAAAGAGAGGTAAAATCCAAAAACTAAACTAATTATGCATACTTAACTACCTTACCCTATGCAATTAGCCAAATGACTCACAAATAAACATGCACAATTCATGGCAAATCACTAAGAACATTAGAGAGAAAGATGAGAGAGAGAGAGAGAGAGAGAGAGAGAGAGAGAGTTGGGAGAAGAGACAAAGATGGAGAAGATAATGTCACGCCCCAAATTCATAAATAGACGTGATCTAATTAATAACCTTTAA